GGGGGGGGGGGGAAGGTTGGGTTGTACTGTAGCAGAAAGCTGTGTTCTCCCTCTGTGCACTAATGCTTGGATCTGACCATGACCCAGATGTAGAATTCTTAAGAACTGACCTCTCTGGCTCTTTTTGGGACAGTACGACTGGCGAGGACAGTTGGTCCCCTCTGGGAAGGGGATGGCAGGAGTCCTGACTGTGGGAGGAACCTCAGCACAGCTCACTTCCAAGGTGGAAGAGAAGCAGGCACCAGAAGAGGGAGTGAGGCTGCAGCTGTACGGGCAGATGCACAACGTGTACACGCGGCACTGCCCCTGCCACGGCACCGACCAGCTCCGCAGCAGGCTGCTCTCCATCCTCATCCAAGTGAGTATCTGCCAGATGGGAGTTTGCAGGGATCCTGGATACAGCATCACTAAACGACAGTTGCACAAAGTGTAGCTGCTAATGGGCAAAATGTCCCTGTCTGTAATAGAGGGCATCTGCATGTAGCTAAAAACACCCAGTGCATTTGTAAAACATACTCTGTGCCCAGGTAAATCCCCTCCAAGCAGACACACATGCACCTGTTCAAGAGTTTCCTACTTGCAGACTCTATTTGGCTCCTTACTGTATACACATGAACACAAAAGCGCTCTCCAGAGATGCCAAGATCACCATCAGGGTGGAGAAAGGCAGAGAATTCCCTTGGCTCCTCTCAACTGCTCCTCCATCCTAGAATGAGAGCTGAAACAGCAGCACCCAGGAACCAAATGGGACCTTCCATTTGGGGTATTTGGGTCCCTTCTTGACTTTAACTCTGAAGCAGTCTTCAAAAGGGCAATATTTCATTTTGAAAACATGCAGGTGTTTTGGTTCTGACAAACTTTGTTTCACATGAGGGGAAGGTGGCAGGATCTATCACAAACTCAGGGATCATTTTAGCCTCCACCAAAACTGAATTTTTCAGAAATAAGCTACTCGCTGCCCTCCCCGTCTTTGAGACCTGAATGTCCCACGCAGAGACCCACTTCAGCACAGTTATACTGGGGAATTCCCAGAGATCATAAAATCACAGGATGGTTTGGGTTGGAAGGGACCTGAAAGATCATCCAGCTCCACCCCCTGCCATGGGCAGGGACACCTCCCACTAGCCCAGGTTGCCCAAAGCCTCATCCAGCCTGGCCTTGAACCCCTCCAGGGATGGGGCATCCACAGCTTCTCTGGGCAAATGAGATGAGGAACACCAACTCTTGAGGGGCTGAGCCATCTGGAAGGCAGACAGAACAGCCTCTTCCTTGCAACTAGGAAGGGTACAGGATTCAGTGAAATTTTATTTCTGGTCTAAGGAAGAGCAGGTAGGGCTGGGACTCCCCAGCCTCCCACAGCAGGTCCGGGCATTGCAGTTTGTCCTGAGCTCTGCAGGAGCTGGGATCCTGCTGCATCAGTCTCGCAGTTGATTAGCTGAGATAAGGTTTGGCAAACCTTTCACAGCCTGTTCGATGATAACATTGTGGTGCCAGAGGAAAACTGTTCTTCACTGTGTTCCATTTTGTCTTCCTTTGTGAAGCCCTGGGATGCCAACATCATCTCTTGCTGCCTCTGTTTTATTCTGCCTCTCTAGGAGCAGAGAAGTGCTAAAACTGTGTCTAATCCCTGCTGGCCCCTCACCTACTCCCGGGAAGTGCCGTGGCAATCAGTGCATGCGGGGCCTTGTGCTGTCAGTGATGACACACGGGACATCCCTGGTCCTGAGGAGGTCTTCAATGTCACCGGCTCCAGCAATCCCGCTGCCTGCATGAGACTCGTGCAAAGCCTGCTCAACTCTTCCTCTTCCTGCAGCTTCTTCCAGCGTTCCCCCAGCAGTGGTTTCCAGCCCCTCCGGACCAGGTTTCTGGTGCGTTCTCATTTACACAGGAGTAGGCAACTGGTATGGAGAAGCCATGAAATGGGAAACAGTTTGGTCATTAATACAGTGGGATCAGCCATGCTGTGCCCTCTGCTAGCCAAGAGGGCCAGTGCCCTGGCTAATGCACACCCAGTGCTGATGCTGTGCACGTGTGGTCCTGCCCTTTGGCCCTCCCTGACCCACAGCTGTTCACACCTAGGCCACAGCTGCCCATGCATGACCGTGGCAGGGCTTTCTTCATCCACGTCTCAGCAACATCTGCTTGCAAGACAAACTCCGGGGTTGCACAGAGCCATAAGGGAGCTCACGTGAGCCAGCAAGGACAGGGCAATCAGGGGCTGGGTTTTGAGCAGGTCTTCCCAAAGCCTGTGATGAAGCTGAAGATCCTCTGCCACTCCTTAGCAGACATCTGGGCATGCTTGCTCTACCACAAGCATCCTTCCATCTGAGACCCCAAATCTAGCGTCCGAAGTAATTGGGTTGTTAAGCCAGGACCAGATTGAGATCCCACGACAAACTGCGTACATTTCCGAGGGAGAAATTACAGAAATCTCCCCAGCTCCTACTCCCCAGAGCCTCCCATGGACATAGCACCAAGGAGCATAAGGCCCCTTGTCCCCTTATCCAGGCAGGGCCAGAAAGACTCCTGTGTCCAAGCTAGAAACAGTCCTGTCTCTGTCTCCAGCCAGTCACAGCTCCTGCTTGTCTTCCTTGCACCCAGAGGCCCTGTAGCCACCACCACACACACGGAAGGGCCACCCTGGCAATGCGCCCCACAGCCACTTACTTCCCTCCAGGCGCTGCATGCAGGGGTGCAGAGCACAGTCCAACCTGATGGTTATTTCTGCTGCTGTTGTAGGTGATTTCTGAGGCCATGGACTTCATGAGAGAAAGCACACCCTCTCCTGACTTGGGGCAGGCAGTCAACAGGCTGTGTGGAATGTCCGTCAGAGAGGTAACTGTGCAATAACGCACTGTGCGGGCAGAGCAGGGAGCAAGGAACAGGCTGGTGTAAAAGCCCCTGTGGCTCAGACTGCCAGAGCCATCAGTTACTATCTCCCTGCAGGGAAAACTTGGATTTGCCTGGGTTCTTTTGTTTTTTTTTTTTACTTTGAGGAAACACGTTCCACTTATTTTCCTTCCTCTCAATTCCCAGCTGCTGCTGGTAACACCTGGACTTAACTGAATGAAAAGCCACAAGTACCTTTTACTGCATGTTAAGGGGTAAACAGCAAGGCTGGCTGCTCCCTCCTGTCCATCACCTTGGTCTTCCTGTTATCCTCCTAAGTGCAAGGAACACATCTGCTCGGAATCCAGAGGTTTTCCCATTTCACCTGGTCCCATGGAGACCAAGCCAGGGGGGACTTGCAAGGTCTTTCCCTCAGCTGGTGGCTTATGAGGTCACCCTCATTTGCACCCCCACTGACCCAGCATCCAGGGTGCATCCAAACCGGACAATTTCCCCAGGGTTTGCTGATGGGGGAGCAAGGCCCCCAAGCAGTTCCCTAAAGCTTGCTCAAGATCTGGTTAGTGCTCCTGTTGAGAGGAAGGCTGCAGCATTAGCTCAGACTAATTACAGAGCAGAGAGTCACACCAAGCAGCTCCCCTGCAAGGCAGCTGCAGGAGACCTGGCTGCCAGTCCCGGTGCTCTTGGAACTGCCCAGTCTTTAATGATGGGAACAAAGGCACTCAGAGATGACACCAGTTCCCAGGCCACAGCCCAGTGGGTGCTTTCATCCTGCACAGGACATAACCCCCTCATCCAGTCCCACAGTCAGTCCCAGAGCAAGAAAAGAGTTTACAGTGGGCCCAAAATTCAGCTACTGAATATTTAATACTTTTTTTTCCCCCCTCATCTTCTTTTGGAAATGACCCCAGCTGGTCAAGGAGTCCCAAACAAGCCTGGATACACTTGCTGATTACTGCCTTGTGTCTGCCTTCATCTTTCATCTCAGTACAAAGGGATACACGTTTGACTTGGATGGGTCTGTACGGACTGCATTCCAGAAGGTCAGTTACCTACAGCGTGACATTTCCAATGTTTCAGTAAAGCCAGCCTGTCTCCACTCCTACAAGCCCTAACCAGCTAGGTTTCTCCAGCAAGTTGTTTTTGCAAAATAAATTCACAAGTGTGATAAGCCAGAAAACCAGTGTCAGAGAGCCAGAGATTACACTTGTCCCACCGAAAAACAGATGGGTCAAAACCTTATCTGAAGCAATTCCATCTTTAAGAGTGTACGTCCAACAGGGAAGGAAGTACGGCTTTATCACTTAATGCTAAGGACAAACTGCTGGTAATGTTTCCTGAGCCAAAAGATGCTGCCCTACCTCTTTGCGATCACCTTTATCCTAGTGAAGGTTTATAACTGGCTTATAAGGTCTGAAATTGCCTCAGGATCTGGAGCCCCTAAGGAAAGGGGGATTTGTTTCAAGCTTCCCCCTTCACAAAATTAAAGAAAGCCCATTCCCAGCGCTCAAATCACCAGCCAAGGCAGGGTCCCACCAAGCAGGGCCACAGCAGTGGCTCAGCCATATGGCGATCATTAAAGGCAAGGTAACAAGGTGGGTTCAGGGTCCATCCAGAGAGCCTGCTCCGGAAAAACCAGAAACAAGCAACCTACAGGTCTGAGGTTCAGCCAGGCAACAGGGTCCAAGAGAGAATTGCCTGCAGTGGAGACATAGGGTCTATCTGGGAAAACCAGTCAGTAGGAGAAGGACCACCTACAGCACAGCTCAGGAAAGAGGAGACTACCCAAGCCAGAGCTTAAATGGAGCTCCCAGGGCCATGGTGTGGGTGGAAGTCCAGGTGAGACTGATCAGAGCAATTAAAGCCTATTAGTGCACCCAGGGCTCTGTGATTGGGAGAGTTCCTGTTTCCATCCGAATGCTTGGATCAGTCTCAAATAAAATATTTGAGGTCTTGGGTCTATGCACAGAAATACAGATGGGGTGCAGGCTGTCTGTCTCTCTTCTGATCTCTCCTCCTTTTCATTTCAGCAGATGGGTGACACATCATCTGGCTGGACACTTGGGTACCTGCTGAGTCTGACCAACTCCATGCCCCAGGACAGCCCGAGCTTCCTCAAGGGGATCGAACCAGGGGTCTGGTCTTTGCTCCTCATCCTCTTTGTCACGCTGCTCACGGGCTCCTTCATGCGCATCTCGTACCGAGTGATGGTCAAGGAGAACAGCTTCAGTAACAGGAACAGCAGTGTTTTTGATGACAACTGACAGTTATTCCAGGACTTGATATTTTTGCCAGTTAATAGGGTGCATTCAGAAATCACAGAGGAGGATGTTACTGGAGGATGCAAGTGATTTTCCTGCAGGACTCCCAGAGCCTCGGTGCCATGGATTCTGCTCTGGAGGAAGCCTGAGATCCCTAGTGGATGGCGAGCTACTTGTCCTCCAAATGAGAGCAGCCTGCACAGGTCGCACTTGGGCTGCAGCTGAGATGACCAGTGTCAACCTAACGGAACAACACCTCTGAGCAGGCAGGCCCTGAGCTATTGCAAAGCTAATATTGAATAATCCTGTCTAAGCAGGAGAGGTGGTGTCTGAAAAAAAGTGCTCCATCCTCTTCTGTGCCCACAAGAGAGACGACACCTGCAGTATTGCCACTAGTGAAGACTGGAACAGCATTAAAACATAATCAGAATGTAACAGCCAACTTTCCTCTGTGTTCTAGGGAAGAAAGCAGGTATTTTCGGCCTGCTGCTACTGATCTGTCTGTTCTTCCATCTCAGCAATGGTATCCACGTGTCCCTTCCAGAGAATGCTCCTGCTGACCGCGAATCCTTCCAAAGCAATGCTTTCTAGTCTTGGTCTCTACAAAATGCGCAGAGAAATAAAAGGTGCAGATGTGCAGCTGAGTTCCTATCTTGCCGCTGAGTCATGGCAACTCAGGGTTAACATTGTCAATTTAAACTCTTTCACCAGGACTTAACACATTTCATTTCACATCTACTAAAACTGGGTGCATGCTGGGCGGAGGTTCACCAGCTCGTTCATTTGCACTAAACTGCTTGTCTCCTCGACTCTGCAAGTGAAGTACCTCATCTAACGTCGTCCTTTAGAGGAGAGCAGAGCCAGGAACATCAGCTTTCCTAATTGTCAGTCCAATGACTTTCACATTAGCCTGTGACCAGAGTTACTTTATAATGCTCAGGATTCCTCTGGGACTTGGCAGTCGTTCCAGCTCCTCTGGTCTGCTCTGCTCGTCTAAAAGATGAGGTGCTTTACACATTCTCTGGGTTATTGTGAAGAAAAGGGATGGATTCAAATGCTGTCCTTTGACTAAACCATTTAGACTTCACTTCTCGGATTGTTTCAGAGACTTAAACACACCGGCTGTTCAAATCCTAAGGGATGAGTGTCTCCAACCCGTGTCAGAACACTTTGAACAGAAATGTAAAGGCTCACAGATGTAGCAATGTGCCTTGCAGGATTTTTAAAGGTACCATGGCACCCAAATCCTTTCAAATGTCATTATTAATCCTTTGTGCTCCCAAGTCACATGTAGGACACCCTCCCTCCCCCATAATATTGGGGTATTAATGAATTTTCAGGCCAATTAATGAAGGTTTGGAACCTGTCAGTCAAGTTTGGAGGGGTGTGGAAACAGTTTTAAAGAAGCTTCATAGTCATTTCTTTGAGTTGCACGTTAGATATTTTTAATTATATCATGTTATTAAAGATGTTTTAATAGACTGTCTGTGTTATTCTTGGCAAGAGATCAAAGCGGGGGTTTTATTGTGAACACAAAGTATTTCAGCGAGGAGGACGGGGGATGCAGATTTTGCCTCTGTTTACTCAGGAGCTGTTATGCTGTGTACTTTTGGGGTACACAATGAGAACCCCTGAAGGTATTTTCTTCCTGGTGGCAGGCAGGTGGAAAATGACTTCAGATAACCTGGCTGCTGGTATTTAGTTGATGAGAGATGTGGCTACATCTTTGATGTGTTCTTTGCTCAAACCATCTGAAGAAGGTAGGAGGGATTCAGGCAAGCCTGCATAGAAAAAAAAAAAAAAATGAGGTTATCAGGGAGTCAGCAATATCGGGGAAATTCCTGAGACTTCATTCCTCCCACATCCTGAAATGTCATTAAACAGAGCTCTGGCTCTGGGATCTGTCAGCACACAGGAGAGCTGTGGGAGTCCTGGCTGAGATTTGCAACCTGCCCAAGAAGAATCCTACCACTGTCAGAAAAGGCAATAAGCCAGGGAGATGCTGGGAACCCCAGGACACCAGGTGTTCTGGCCTGCTCAGTCATTACACCTTCTTGATTTTGAATACCAGATCACAGGGTCCAAGAGAAAGGACATTGGCTAGAACTTCCCCAAGCTCTTGTTTAGAAGCTTTGGGACTTCCATGCAGATAATGAGTGAGCAATTAGGCAAAAAGCTCAACGTGTCCTCCTGACACTTCACTTTTGCCTCACACACACCGCTGAGCTGCGCTGAGTGACGACACATACCAATGGCCTAACTCACCCCATGACACTTGTGCCACCATTTGACATCAAGCCACCCCTGTGCAATGCAAAGACAACCCACAACCACTTGATTCAGAGCAGATCCTAAACTCCTGAGCTAAAAGCTGCTGTTCTTGTCAAAGGCAGTGAGACATTTTGATGGCTGAAGTTCTTCCCCAGTGGTCCAAACACTGCAGGCAGCAGCTCTGCTCCCTCCTTTCCCATCACTCCTTCCAAATCTTGTCACTGCTGTCTTCTGCAAGCAGGAGCAGGCATATTTGCTCTCAGATAATGACTGTGCCACCCATCCCAAGCTCCAGCCCCCCGCAGCGAGGGTTACCAGGTGAACCGCGCTTGGAATGGGCCGTATTGATGGTGCATATCATTCTCTTTCTATCTGGCAGAAAAAAAAAATTATAAATGTATTTACTAGACGATGAGCTAGATTGGCACTTTAACAGCCCTGAAGTGTGTTTTCAGTCCTTAAAAAGGCAAAAATTTGGGAACCTATGAGAAGAATGGAAACTAATAAAAGTAACATATTCCTTTCTCCAAGCTCTCTACACTTCCTTCATGTCAGCACTCTGTAAATCTGCAGAAGTAATCCCCAGATTACCTGGACAGCAGAAATCTGCTTAAAAGGAGATTCTAGATTATCTCGCTCACTTTGAAACAGTGAAGATGCTTGCAGTCCTTTGGTTACAACGCAATGTAACCAGGATTTTCTACCTGTCCATAACTCCTTTATGTTTATGCATAGCTACCTCGCTTCTCGCCCAGGCTGACCCATGGGAGAGCTCTTCTGGCAGATAATGTTTGCTCGCATGTAATTGTGGTTCTGCTGCTGTCAGCAAGTAACACTAAAAAGGAAATAAAACATATTAGATATTAAAATTGACACCAGAAAGCACTTTCTCTATTTTAGCTCCAGAAACACAACAGGTTAGCTGACCTGCTGCTGGCCAGAGCAGCCTAAATTTCATTTCAGCATGTTTGTAGGAGTATATTAGCTCCTGTCCTTCTTCCAGTTTACACCATTTCCAAAGCATCATGCATTCCCAACCAGTACATCCCATCTGGGTTGCACCAATGAATTCCCATGAAAATTGAGAGAAATAATAATTTATTGCCTGCAGTCCTGTTCTGCAGTACAAAGTTCACCGCTACAGCACCAGAGTTGTTTCTTTCTTCCTGTTCTGATGCACGCAGGCTCCCCGCAGCTGGAGAGAGACCTAAGCTGAGTCCTAACCTCTTGCTTGCTATGTGGCTGTACCCAGGGCAGGGCTGTATATAAGCGCAGCTTTTCAAGATGTAAGTATTTCACAGGACGCTTATGGATGAATTAGTGCATCAGGATTTCACTGAGCTGGAGGTTCTACCAGGTGCTGTCACACACTTCCTGGTTTATCTCAGCAAGTCGTGAGAAGGTCATGCATGCTTCGAGGACTTTGCAAAACTCATCATATGGCTGAGCAACAGCTTTCCGTTAGTCATGCAGCGATTGTAACTCCTCCTCTCCTTGAGACACTGTCCTGCCTGTGGAGATATCCAGTTCAGTGGTTAAGGGAAGGCCTCTGGAATAGCAACAGTAGAAACAATGTACAGCACCAGGCACGTTTGGGGCTCTTATAATAAACAATAATGAAATGACTTGAAATCTACAACCACTGGTGAAGCAAATCCAGCAGAACATGAGAGGAATGCCTTTCAGGGTGGCTGGATTTAGAGATGAATCGGTACATTCTTATTTTGTTCTTATACCATGCCTATGATCATGTATCTGAATATCTTCCAGAGGAGCAGAAAGCCATATGATGTTTATATCCTACCTCATGGACTGTCACTCCTACTTCAAGAGCTAATTCAGAACACACCGAAGAAGATGGAAATGCTATCAGAAGAACAAGCCCGAATGAATACTGCTATCAGTAAACCTCCAATTTTTGCCACAGCTCTCAATATAAAAGTCCTTTCAGAATGCCATCAAATGCAGGTAAATCAAAGTGTTTTGATGTTTTGCAGGCATTGCATTCCAAACTTTTTCAACACGTACTCACTGGAGACCAGGCAGAAGAGGCGTCTTTGACCTGGTTTCCACCATGCCCTCGATATGATATTCAGAGCCTTGTTGCAGTAGGGTGCTTTTAGATCCCCTGTTCAAGTCAGATAAACACAGAGTGTGAGCTGTCGCTCCCCCGAGTGTGTAATGACAGGGATTAGTCACAAGAGGGAGGCTGGCAGGACAGCGCCTCAAGCCTCAGGAAATCTCCAACGCAGCCAGTAGCTGCTCCCACCACAAATCAAATACATTAGCAAGCAGGCTTGGCTGGAATCTCGTCAAGGAGACTCCTGATGTGGCCAAGATGAAAGACACACTGCAGCACAGAGGCTCCCTCTGTGTGGGATGTGAAAGCAGCTCTAACTGGTGATTTAGGAAACCGTGGCATTAGTGGAAGAAGGCCTCTGTGCAGGGAGATGGGCACTAGCATGGAGTACGGATGGAGGCTCTTTTGGAAACAAGTGGGAGGAAGAATAATCCCAAATAGGAAGAAGACTGCACTGGAAATGAAGGGGAGGAGGCTTGAGAGACACAGAGGAATGATAAAATCAACGTTTGCGCGAAGGAAAGCTTATTTTTGTCCACAGCAGGGGGTGTCACCATATGCGCACCTCATGATCGAATTAGTCACCACTTCTTGGTGGAAATTCTCCAGAGAAACAGATATCCTGAGGGAAAGAAGGCAACACCTACAGGGC